AACTAAACACCCCCCATTCTCATACACACACAACCCCCGACATTTGACCGACCACGACAATCCCAAAGGGTAAAAGAACAAACTCCATACAACAAAATACACACAAAATCAACACCAAAACGAGTGAACACAGCACACAATCACCACCAAATTCTCACAAACAAAAACAAAAAAAAAACCATACAAACAACAAACAAACACAACACACAAACAAAACACCCACACACAACACAGCATATACCACACCAAACAACGAATACACCCACAAACAAGATAACACCACACAGGATACCAACCACCACAAACAAGATCACACACACACAAGTCACCACACAAACAAGATACAAACCAACAAGATACACGCACAAACACAGATACACACCACAAACCAAAGATACACACAGCAAACACACAAAACACACACACAAATAAATAAACAAACAAAATGCACATAAGCAAATAAATAAAAAACACACACAAGCAAAGAAATAAACAAACAAATTAATAAAATACACAAACAAATAAACAAAACAAACAAATAAAACACAAAGAAACAAAATGCAAACACACAGACAAACAAAGCACACAAATACGCATAAACAAACAACTAAAACACAAACAAACAAAACACACAAAAACAAACAAATAAATAAATAAAACAGACTCTCACTCACTCACTCACTCCCTCACTCCTATGGGTTACACAGATGCACTTTATAAGCATCACTAATGCAAATGAGAGTACTTTGCTTTTGTGAATTAATACTGTTTCTTTTACTTCCTTGCAGATGTCGAAGGTAGCACCCATGCAACTTGGGGCCGCAGATACCCACACCCAGGTGGACCATATGGCGGCCCTGGATATTGACTCCAAACCATTCTCGAAGCGACTCTCCGGCATCATCTGCACCATTGGTAAGAAGATGGTTTACTTAAAGATATCAGCAACAATATTGCCTTTTTTCTATAGAGATTATTTTTTCTTGATTTTATTTGAACCGGCTTGTTACCTGATGATTTCATATGATTTAAAATCAAAAGAAAAATACCATTGCGGGAAATATGTCATACTTAGTATTTGATATTTTATGCTTATACTATTTTTAACGATAATTTACATCCTTTCTTTTCCAGGACCTGTCTCTCGGTCTGTAGAGATGCTGGAGAAAATGATGGAGGCTGGCATGAACATCGCACGTATGAACTTCTCCCACGGCACCCATGAATACCACAGCGAGACCATGATGAATGTCCGTAAGGCAGCCCAGAAGTATTCCGACAAGATTGGGCATTCTTATCCTGTTGCCATTGCTCTTGACACAAAGGGACCTGAAATTCGTACTGGCCTTTTGGAAGGTGTAAGTCTCATTTACTATATATCAAATTGGTAATTCATTAACAAAGAATCCTTGTTAATAACACATGTCTATAAGAGATATTGTGTGTTAATCTGTTGGTCCGTTGCGTCCCACACAGCCATAAATATTGGCATTAGGTTATGCAAGTGGCCACTAGGCTGGGCATAGGGTGCATAGACTAGGTGTATGCAAACACTTGTTTTTGGTGACAAGACAAGACAAAAGTTATTTTGTATAAACCATCTTTTTTTTTTTTTTTTTTTTTTTTTTTTTTTTTTTCTTTTCTTGTTTTTCTTTCTTTCTTTCTTTTCCAATGTCCATATTTGTCTGTTGATTTGCTTTATCCAAATGGTGATATCTTATTTCCCATCTCTCTATGTGAGTAAAAAATATATTTGTTATTTTTGTTATATATCTCAAGGAAATTGCGTCCTCCCTGGGGTTGGCGCTTTTCCAGTCATTACTCATTGGTATTATCTTTCCAACACCCTGGCCTTTGTTCATGACAGCTGGTTCACGTCCCACAGCCCTCAACAAAAAATTTTCATGACTGGATGATCACGTCACCTGGATCCAGGCAGTTAATGCATAATTATTTCCTTCTCTATCTTTGTGGCTTCCATCCTAGTTCCTGTTCCTGCATGTGTTCCTATCCCAATTCCTATTCATATCTGTCCCTGTCCTCTTCCAATCCCTATCATTGTTTCTATCTTCATTCATCTTCCCATTTCTATCCCTACCCTAGTCTATATCCATAACTGTACTCAAACCTGTATCCATACCTGTGCCCATCCCATGCTCATACCCATACCACAATACATTTCCCTTTCTCCTTTCCTCACCCTTTTTCCTTTCCCCCTTCGTCCTCCCTTTTCTGCTTCCTGTTTCTTCTCCCTATTCCTTTTCTTCCCTCGTTGTTTCTTCTCCCTCTTCCTCTTCCTCCTCTCCTTTCCTTTCCATAGCTGGTTTGATTAACGAGCTCTTTTATTGTAGGGACCATCAGCTGAAATTGAATTGAAAGAAGGTGCTACAATCAAGTTGACCACAGATGCCAGTTACTATGAAAAGTGCTCAGAAGACGTACTTTACTTGGACTATGTCAACATTACCAAAGTTGTGAAGCCTGGCAACCGCATCTTTGTTGATGATGGCCTTATCTCTCTTATTGCTAAGGATGTGGGTAAGTTAAGGGTAATGCCTACACATACATTGATTCTGAATCCCTTCTTTATGTAATTGTTTTTAATAAAAATTTTAAGGATTGCTGTACCTAAGGCCACAGCAATTTTTTTTCTTGAATAGCGAGCAAGTCTGGTGATAATGAAATATTGGTGGGAGGGAAAAGAGAAAAGAAAAAAAAAATCCCCAGCACCAAAATAAGACAAGTGTACCTCCTACCTTCCAAAGATCAGAAGTAAAGGAAGGTATCAGTTCCAGCCCCACCTGGAAGAAGTACAATTCTGTCTTCCTAGAAGTCTTCGAGGAGTTGAATGAAAACAGACAAAGAATTCTTTCAACCAGAATTTATTGTTTGGAAATCAAAATAAAACATTAACGGTAGACAATAGGCATGACATGATGCATGAGAGTAAGGTATTTCTGCCAAATATATTTTATTTTTGTTTTGGGGACGGGAGAAACGATACCATACACAATAAATTAGAGACAAATTGATTTATATTTATTTTTTTTGCTTCTTTCACGGACATCATGATGTCAGTGAAAAATTTGATGATTTTTTTCTTGGAAATAAATGTCGGTGGGTCTGCTACTCAAGAAAAAAATTGCTGTGGCCTAAACAGGAAAGTCATTATCAGTACAAAAGATTATAGGAAACAAACTATGCATTTTAAGTCCATAATGTGGATGTATTTATGATTATTTATGATTACTGTTATTTAGTAAAAGTCTTGCTATAATGAAGCTAGAAAAAAGAAATTGGATAAATTGTATAGCTATAATGAAGCTAGAAAAAAGAAATTGGATAAATTATATATTTTGTTTTTGATCTAAAGGCAGTGATTCCATTGACTGTGAGGTTGAAAATGGAGGTATGCTTGGGAGCAAGAAGGGAGTGAATCTCCCAGGTGTTCCAGTAGACCTTCCTGCAGTCTCTGAGAAGGACCGTGGTGATCTCCTCCTTGGTGTCAAAATGGGAGTAGACATTGTGTTTGCGTCCTTCATCCGTGATGCTGCTGGAGTCCGTGAGATCAGAGATGTTCTTGGTGAGGTTGCCTCTATCTTTTTTTTGAAATGTGACATAAACTAATGTATTTATGATCTCCTTTTTTTTTTTTTGAGACATTTTGTGGGTGTAATATTTGATGTATGAGATTGTTTCAGGCGAAAAGGGCAAGAATATCAAAATCATCAGCAAGATTGAGAATCACCAGGGATGCAAGAACATTGATGACATCATTGAAGAGGGAGATGGTATCATGATTGCTCGTGGTGATTTGGGTATTGAGATTCCTGCTGAGAAGGTCTTCGTGGCCCAGAAACAGATGATTGCCAAGTGCAACAAAGTAAGTTCACTTCTTCGAAGGAATAATAGATATACATGTCTTTCTTCTTGAAGAACATGTCAAAATTCCATTCAAATTTGTTCATTTTTGTTCTTTTGATTGAAGGTGATCGTATTCCAACTAAAGCATGAAATTTTCTAGTCATACAAAATGCTGTGAAATATGACCTAAATCAGCTAATAGGAAAGCTGAGACAACACTTAAGCTATCAAGATTTGTAGAATGTTGAATTATTCAATCTAGTATCATTTGTGATGTTTGGTTTCAGAATATTTAGATTTTTTTTTCTTGAAAATAAAATCCATCAACATTATTTAAGAGGTTGAACTTTGTCATTAATGATTTTATTTTTTTTTTATTATTATTTTTTTTTTCAAATTACAAAGTGGTTTCCTAACTCAAAATTTTACTCTTTCCCCACAGGTTGGTAAGCCAGTCATTTGTGCTACCCAGATGTTGGAATCCATGGTGAAGAAGCCCCGTCCCACACGTGCTGAAGTGTCAGATGTGGGTAATGCTATCCTTGATGGTGCTGACTGTGTCATGCTGTCTGGTGAAACTGCTAAGGGAGGCTACCCTCTTGTTTGTGTACGAACCATGGCCAACATTGCACGTGAAGCTGAAGCTGCAATTTGGCACAAGCAACTCTTCACTGAGCTGTCTCAGCAGGTAATGTTGAAGATATGTATTTTCACTTCAAAATTTGGATATGCTTATGCCTTAACCCAGTCACGCCGGGTACATTTTGTAGCCAAAATAAAAAAATCTGGGTGGCTACAAAATCGGCGGGCGAAGCTTCCCGGAGTCTGTCCGCCGCCCGGCCGCGCGCGCTGCTGCGTCGGGCGCAGCCCCGAGACAGCATCACACTGGCGGGCCGCCCGGCAATGTTTATTTTTTCCGGTGTCTCATATATGTGACACCGGGGACGAATGGGTTAACATTATGGAGTATTGTATAAATAGACCTGATAGTAGCTTAACTAGCAAACCAATTTGAGATTGTCTGACTAGCCATATTTAGTTTAAAGAAAGAAAGAATATAGAAGGAGAGTAATAGAGTAGATAATATAGATAGAAAGAAATTGAAAAAAATCCATTGATACACCATTGAGAAATGTTTATGATCATATAGTTGATAACTATCTCTTATATAGAGAAATTACTCTTTATTTCTAGGTCCATCTGCCTACTGACTCAACACACACCACAGCTATTGCTGCTGTTGAAGCCTCATTCAAAGCAATGGCCACAGCTATTATTGTTATTACCACCACTGGTCGCTCTGCTCATCTGGTTTCAAAGTACAGGCCTCGCTGCCCAATTGTGGCTGTAACACGATACCCACAGGTGGCCAGACAGTGCCATCTCTACCGTGGCATTATTCCCATCCACTACACTGGTATGTATTATGGGCACTTAGATATATGTATATATGTTTTAGTATATAAAATACGAATATATTGTTCATAGTACAGGGTGTACTGTTATTTTTTATGCAGTATTGATTTATTGAGGTTAGTAGATCAATAGATTAAAATATTCTAATGTGAATTGAAGGAGTAAAGGTGTAGAGGGAAGAAAGGTGAAAATCCTGATCTATTGAAGTGGTGTAACATATAAGAGTGTGTGAGATGATTGTGCATGTTCTATGAAAACATGATTATATATATATATATATATATATATATATATATATATATATATATATATATATATATATATATATATATATATATATATATATGATATAATATTATTGAACTTACCTACGATGTAATTGTATAAAGTACATACAGATATCATTTCTGGTGTTCTTGTTTATCTTGATTAAATTATGAAGCTTTTCAGACAATATCAGTCTGTAGATAAAGTTGTAAAATTTTATTTATGTGTACTGTACTAGTATGCATTGTTGATATGTACAAAAGAGGAAGAAGCCATAGTTAGAGATTGTTTAGTAACAGAGAAAGAAATTTAAGACCAATTTAGGGATAGAAAAATAGGCAGCATGGCAATCCAACCCAGTATTTCTACATCCAGTCTCTTTCTTCCAATCTCCTTCATCTGTAATCCAGTGCCTCAGAATGGTACGTTTCTTTGTGAGAATTTGCATTTGTCATCCCTTTTCTTTCTTTGATTTTATTGATTTACATTTCATTTTATATTTTTTTTTGCAGTTTACTCTGTGAAGCTTTTAACCTTTGTTTTATTTTTTTAAATGTTTTTATTGAGAAAAGTAGATGTGTGTCAAAGGAGTATTAACATTTATTTGTTTTGTGGTTTCACATTGAATTATTAACTGTTATTATGAACTGCATTTTGCACTAAAAAGTTGAGACCACACACAGTCGGTTGTTTATTTCCTTCTTTTTCTGTAAAATGTTTGCAGCTTCTTATCACCTGCTCCTCTTGTCCAGTTCCTATCTTGGCCAGATTTCTTGTGGAAATAATAAAAAAAAAAAAAAATTATCAACACCTGAGAATTATCTGGATTTGCCATCTGTTCAGTATATATTTTTGAATATTGGCTTAGTACAAAAAGGGTTTCAAATTAGAAGTCTGGTAAAGTTTACCCAGAATTTGTTTTTTAACAGTAGATATAAGTTGTCAATGACTTCCACCTAATGGCTATTGGAGGTGTGTGTCTTGTGTTACAGCACTATAAAGCTTGTACATATGATACAGTGTATAATCAAATGGTGAGTTTATTTAAGAGGAGTAGTTATAAGGTATTTTCAGAACTTTTTTTTTTTTAATGTTAAAGGATAATTTCAGCTTTATCTGACGGCAAATTATTTTTTAAAGAAATATCTATGGGCCTAAATTAAGATGCGGGGTGTGATCATATTTTCAACAAACTCTTGATTGATGAATTTGAAAATCTTTATACTTATAATGATTGTTGTCCTGTGAATGATAATGTACTTTGTATAAACTCTGAATTCTTTCAGATTTATAAAAAGAAATGTGAATTTTTATATCCAGTTTTCATTCTCATCAACTTTTATAATTTTTATATCCAGTTTTCATTCTCATCAACTTTTAACTTCAAATCTGTAGACATTCTCATTTGCTATGAATAGAAAAATGAAAATAAGATACAAATTATACATATTGGCATCATCGTAACTGATACCTTTGACTGAATCAAACTTAAATCTTGAATTCGGTAAAAAGAGTTTGGTTGTAAACTGTAATATGGCTTAAAATGCTTTTTCATGGCTGATAACTATTCCAGATGCCTTGAACTGTGTTGCTTTCAGATTACCTTTAGTGTTATAGTTCCCCTGCCCTTTCTGCCTCCCTCTCTTGAAAACCCAATATCAGTGTTGTGTTTTCCACCTGTCATTTGTCTGTTTTGTGAACTACAGGAGACATTTACTGTTACTGAAGAATCCAAATTGGAGTTATTAGTGTCCTTCGAAAGCTGCAGTGACATACATTGCTTTTCCTTTCCCTCTGGTTTTGGATATTGTATTCGTCCTTTGCATTAGGAAAGATGAACAATAACTGAAGAACTGTTTTTGGATTATTTTTGTTATTGTTAATGATACTTTTTAACAATAGTTATTGGGAAGGGAATTTTTGAAATGAGAATGAACCATAGCATGAGCAAACTTTCATAGCAAAGGGCATTCTTTTGCTTGAAAATTTGAGCTTTATGCCTAGATATCAAACGAAGGCATGTGCATCCAAAAGTGTTTTGTCAGTTTAAACTTTTATCTTCAATATAAGCACCAATATTTTTACATTGTTGCACTATGATTGCATGATTGTAGTGCATTAACATGAACATATCTTTTAGGTGAAAGTTTTAACTAACAAAGCAGTTAATGAACACATTTTTGGACGATTTAGTCAGAGGAGACCTTTGGTTGCACTTACCTTCAAATGTAGAAAAGGGTTTTTTTAAGACATGATATATGAATGTTGTTGTAATTTTTCTTAATTTTTTTTTCTTAATGCAGAGGATGAGAATGGTATGTTCGTTAAATATTGTTTTGGTTGTAGTGTTTATTTATTGAAAAATTTAGATTTTTTGTATTTGCTTGGGCACATTCCATTTTAGATTCATTTGAACATGATTTGCCCACATAATCCTTTGCAACAAATAGTGTGTATTGCTGATTTATTTTTATTTATTTTTTTGGTTATTTATTTTTTATTATATTTTTTTTCTGTATATATTTATGTAACCTGCACCATTTGTGTTGAGTATTTTCCTGTTATATGGACTTTCTGAGAATTTTTAGATGATTTTAAACATGTAAATGTGTTTCCATAATAGTAACCTATATTAGTTGACATGACCAACAAAGTGAATAGTGGGAAAAGATCTTTATATTTTTTTTCATCTAGAGTATTTATTCTTATTTTTGCTTTTCCTTAGTGGTAGGCTCTGAACAATTGGAATCCAAGCAGCACATAGATAAAATTAAATTTTATTAATCCACCTATTATGGATGATGTCCTTTCAAACTGCAGTCATTGAGGAGAAACAGCCTCTCAAATGGAGGCTTAAGGCCTCTATTTAGCTTAATTTCCTAAATAGTAAATAAGGTCGCACTCAACAGCGTAGAGAGTAGATTACCTTCTTGGATCTGGTTGTCACAGAAATCACAATGCCAAAAATACAGGCAGTGGGTTATGTAAGTGGCCAGTCTCCTGGGTGTGTGGCGCGTAGGCCAGGAGCGCGTGAAAACTCCTGTGTGGTGACAGGACTCTGTGCCTGCCTTTTGCAAAGTAATCTGCGTAAACTTAAAAAAAAAAATTTTGCCATGTTTATATGTCTTTTGATTTGATTTATCCAGATGGTAATTGATTATTTTCCTTGCACAGACTCCATATCCTTTCTCTATGTAGTAAATGACTTGGTGCAAGAAAAAAAAAAAAAATTGTTTGAGTCAAATAGCTTATTTCTTCATAATTTTCTTTTTTCCATAATACAACCTACACTGCCAGTCATAGTGGCCAGGAAAATTATGTTGAGCATGGAAATGGCGTCCTCCCTGGAGACGGCGTTCTCCCAGTCATGGCTTATGCACCATACTTTCCACATTTGTTTATTGATGGGAATAATGCAAAAGCCCTTTTCTAAAAGCCAAATGTGTTTCATAACACTATAACCCACTTACGATGGGTGTCACACATTTGGGACACCTGAAATATAAACATTACTGGGCATCCTGCCGGTGCGACACTAGATCAAAGCTTGCTCTCTAATTTTGTTGCCTGTGGTTGGCGGCACATGGGCAGGTTCCCGGACTCATACGCCTGCCGATTTTGAAGCCACCTGGAAAACATTATTTTTTGCTTGAAAATTTACTGTCGCTAGTAGATTAAGAGGTTTATGCATTCATGATGAGTCTTTTCCGTCACCCTGGCCTTCGTTCATGACAGCAGGTTTTCACATCACCTGGCCTATGGCCATTTTGTCTGATGATGGCATGTTCACTTCACCCGGCCCTCGACCCAGAATTTTCCATGATGGGAATTTAATACCACCTGGATCGAAGGGGTGAAGTGTATGTTTCTAGTGCTTCTAATTTTTCATTTGAGAGGCAGACTGTATTTGAAACCCAGTACATGGATTGGTATGGTGGAGGGTAGTCCTGTTGTGAGTGGTTAGAAATACTGAAGGGGATGGAGGATGAAAGATTCATTTGTGAAAAAGTATTGGAATAAAGATTATTGGGAAAAAAGTATTTTTGATGAACTTTTAAGTTTAACAAGAGTATGTTCATATTGCCCCCAAAATATTAGCTTTATTGAATGTGAATGATTGAATGAAAAGTAGTTTCATTAAAATCTTGATGATTATGAAAAAGAAAATTCAGCTAATTTGCCATTTTGGTGAAATTAATAGGTTTAGGCAAAAAGTAATGCTTAGTTTGCTGCTTCCAAACAAATGTGAAAATTGCATTTTATTGTTTGTGAAAGAAAAAAACTTTCCCACTGTTTACTTGTTTAGGTTTGTATCTTACTGGTTTGACACATCTCTCTTATGTGCATGTTACATTATTGGAAAACCTGCTAATGCTAATAATCAACTGGTTGATGATTGTGTGTGACACTTATCCTTGTGGTTTCATTTTATACCGTGAGTGGATTCTCAAGAATATAGTATTTGTGTGGTAGAGAACTAACTGTTATAAGAGATTTTTTTTTCTTCTCTTTTCTTTTTTTCTTTTGTGAAATTAATTTAAACTGACCAAATTTTGTTGTCACAGCTCTTATTTTTATCCAGTGAATTAAACGATATCATTTACTGAAGGTTCCTATATTTAGTGTTATTGTTTTGGCTATAGATGTCACTTTATAATGATATTGAAAGGAAACAAATCTCTTTAAAGAAAATGAGGCATATAGGTGACTTATAACTATTATTATTTGGAATAGGAAATTTTGATTAAATGATTTAAAGTTCATTATAATTCTGATGCAGATTTGCAGCCTCTGGAAGACAGGCTTAGTTAATATATGTGAAACAAAGTTTATATGGGAAAATCTCAAGTTAGATTAGCATCAGTATTTCTCAGACTGTTCTTGCATATTTTAGGAAGTTTGCAGGGATCAGATCATCTGGCAGTATTTTGCATATAGATGCAGATTGAAAAATTATTTTGGATTTTTCTTGCAATGTCTTGTTAGTATCGATGGTTTCACAAAATTCTTTAGGCAGATTGCAAGATTGAAAAGTTATTATTCTAATGATGAAATATATATATATTTTTTTAAGCTTGAAATTGGAAAATAAGATCATCTTTGGGCTGCATTTATGTATTTTCTTTTAATATTGATATAATAATCATGGCTCTTTATTTTCAGCTGAACGTATTGAAGACTGGATGAATGACGTCAATGCTCGTGTAGACTATGCTGTTCAGTATGGCAAGGAGTGTGGTTTCATTAAGCCCGGCGACCCAGTTGTTGTGGTGACTGGCTGGCAGAAGGGAGCTGGCTTTACCAATACCATGCGCGTCCTGTACGTACAGTAATTTCTCAGTTGTGGACTTGACAAGGGATACTAATTGCTTGTTAAGTTAAGGTACTCATTGGGAGTTTTCAAGCTTCTGTTTTATTGCTGTTCAGAGTGCTTGTACAGCTGTCACAAATGCTTATGATCAAAGTCAAACTCCATTTTGTGATGGGTACACTGCATTACTACTAATATCGAAAGTTCTCGATAACCTTATACATCCACTCATGTCTATGAAATATAAAGTTGGCTGAAGATTGGCTAACAAGGCTTCTAATCATGTGGGTTATGGTTTTAAGCTGCTGTTCTTGTTGCCTGTATATAGTATGTCTTGTGAGAATATGAATACACTTAAAACAGCAGTGACTTGCAATAAGATTGTTCAAGAAATTTAGAAAACATTAAACAAGTCCAAATTAAGTTTTACTTGTTGTAGAGTATTGCTCCTGTTAGTATAAAAAAAATTGATTCAATGTTATTGCAAGTACAAGCTGCTAAGTTTTATTGTAGGACAGGTATATAGAAGAACAACAAAAATGGAGTAGAATGTTTAGATGAACAGTCAAATATGGATACCTGGACTTGGTAAACAATGTCGCTTGGTGAATGTACATGTCTGAGTCATTCCATGCAAGTAAAAAAAAAAATAAAAAAAGATAAATATAGATCTGTAAATGTTACATGGTCTGTGAACCATGCCTAGTCACTTGGGGTAAAAACTCAAGTTAAAAGGATATAATTATTCTGTCATTCAATAAACTGCAAATTACAAAATCTAACAGATTGTCATTGCCTTGTTATTCTTTGGTGTTGTGTGAAATTATATAAACATTTTAGGCCAAAATCTAAATTCATAAGATTTTAGATTAACAGAATTGGTATTTTAGATATTGAGACTAGTGTGATTCAGTGTTGTATTTTCTGAAAAAAAAAGTGGAATGCATCCTGCTTGTACTCTGTCCTTCAATGCATTTATTTTTATCATACAGCGTTGTACCTTCAACTGGCCCAACAGCCTCCATTGTGAAACTAGGAGCACACTCATCTGTTAAGTCAGGCCCTGTTAAGTCAGGCCCTCAAGCCAGTGGAGAGCACCAGAGAACTGGAAAGGCTCAGCCAGATATTCCATGGCCGAGTTTCCTTGCGCACATGGGTCCTTACCACCTATGTGCTGCAGCAGTTGCTAACAAGATTTAAGATGATAGGTACTAGTTCAAAAGTAGCTCTATAAGGAGCACATTTTTGACAAATTTGCTCTCACCTAATCTGCTGGGAATGATAATCATAGTTATCCATTCCTGTGTGCATTTTCAATTTTATTTCAGTGTTTGTTGTGCAGTATAATTTATCTAACATGAAATTCCCTTGCCATTATATAATTATTTAGTTTCTTAACTGACCCTCCTTTTTTTCTTTTCTGTTTAGCAAATGCTACTGTGAATTAATACATTTATGTATGTATGCCAGGATTTCACATATGAAATACATGCTTATTCAAGCACTCACACCCACACACACTCATTTTCATTTGCACATATGTACTCATTTTTACTCACACACATGCACACACACACACACACACACACACACACACACACACACACACACACACACACACACACACACACACACACACACACACACACACACACACACACACACACACACCCACACACACACACACACACACACTGCACACACACGCAAACACACGCAAAACACACACCCACACGCAAAACACACACACACAACACACGCACACACACACACAAACACACACACACCACACGCACACACACACACACACACACGCAAAGCACACACCACACACACACACAAAAGCACACACACACACACACGCAAAGCACACACACACACACACACGCAAAGCACACACAACACACACACACACACACACACACACACGCAAACACACACACACACACAACACACAAAACACACACACACACACACGCAAAGCACACACACACACACACACGCAAAGCACACACACACACACACACAAAGCACACCACACACACACAAAAGCACACACACACACACACAGCAGCACACACACACACAGGCACACACACACACACAGGCAAAGCACACACACACGCAAAGCAACACACACGCGCAAAGCACACACACACACAACACACTCACTTCACCACTCACTCACTCACTCACTCACTCACTCACTCACTCACTCACTCTCTCTCTCTCTCTCTCTCTCTCTCTCTCTCTCTCTCTCTCTCTCTCTCTCTCTCTCTCTCTCTCTCTCTCTCTCTCTCTCTCTCTCTCTCTCTCTCTCTCTCTCTCTCTCTCTCTCTCTCTCTCTCTCTCTCTCTCTCTCTCTCTCTCTCTCTCTCTCTCTCTCTCTCTCTCTCTCTCTCTCTCTCTCTCTCTCTCTCTCTCTCTCTTCTCTCTCTCTCTCTCTCTCTCTCTCTCTCTCTCTCTCTCTCTCTCTCTCTCTCTCTCTCTCTCTCTCTCTCTCTCTCTCTCTCTCTCTCTCTCCTCTCTTCTCTCTTCTCTCTCTTCTCTCTCTCTCCTTCTCTCCCCTCCCCTCCCCCTTCCCTTCCCTTCCCCTCCCCTTCCCTTCCCCTTCCCCACCCTCACCCTCTCTCCACTCCTACTTGTACTCATACTCATTCACTCACTCTCATACTTGTACTCTCATTTGTATCGTCACACAACCTCTTATATCTCCATATATAGCAAAGTTGTACATGCACATGCATACATAAAGTATAAATTTCAGTTATCCTGAAAGTGAATATTAGTTTTGAGACTAACAGTATTTTTGTGTCTCATACTGGTCTAAGAAATTTAAACATCCTCCCAAAATTAATTATGTCATAGTGATTTCTTCTTTTCTCTTTAAAACTTTGGCAAAAAGCCCTTTAAGTATTTCTTACTGATGGATTTTAAAAAATGCACATCTCTCTATTGAACTGAACCATTGCATTTGTAAATTGATGAGCAAGTGGTTAAGGTTTCTGTGTAAGCTATCAGAAGGCAGATATTATTATTATGGTGAAATAATGATGCAAGATAATGAAAATACATTAGTGTTATGTAAGATAAAATAGGTAAAGTATAGTAATTATCTTACAAATCCGATTCTGGTATTAGCAACGTTGCTGGTAGTGGATAACATAAAGTAAATTACTGAAGGAATGAGGCAAATATACGGGGCTTGTCTAATATAACTATTACTACACATTTCAGTAATTGTAAAATTGAAATCTTTGAGATGATTTTCAAGGAAATGCAAATGATGGTTTTCTGTATTGAAGCTGGTTATAATTTGATAAAACTTTAAATTATAAGTTTTTCAAAATTATTCAGCTAGACTTATTTAACACTATAAATTATTATTCAGCTGCTCTCCACTTTCTCTATTGACTAACCAGAATAGGTTAACTCGAGGAAGCTCTAGAGTAATTTGTTCTGAGTTACATGATTACGAAGGTGTGATGAGGCCTGTAACTTGCAGCGATATTAATTCTTCTTTTGAGGATTCCTTATGCATTCACAATTTTCAATGACTGTAAATTAGGTAAGTTGAAACACTTGCTTTTATCACTTTGCCTTCCTGTTTAGTGGGCTTATAGTCTGGATTTCAGTTTCTCTCTCTGTCCTGTTTATTGCTTTTCCTCAAGAATATAGTAAATGGATGTTGATTATGCAATGGTTATTGTTATTTTTAAGTAGATGCTCTCTTTCAGAATTGGATTATAGTAAATGCATATTTCTTTGGAATGGATTATTAAAACTTGCATGTCTGTTTTGTTCTGTACATTTTACTTTAGCTAGTGAATTTTATTTATGATTTTATAATTTCTTTATGCATGTATATTTTTAATTACATAAACCAGAGGATATTTTAATATTTATGCTTTTTAGTACAGTTCTGTTAAATGCATATTTTATTTTCCAGGCTGATTTTGTATGTAGTTTAAATTTGGTTGTTTACATTTGGAAAGGCAAAAATGAATACTGAAAGTATCACTTTGTACAGCAGCAGAAAATAGTAAATACCCTTAAAAAGAAGATAGAATAGAGCACTCTTCATGTAAATGATATATGCTTTGTAATGGCTAAGTGTGGAGTGATTATCTTTTAAAATGTTTTGATTCAAATATGCAATCCCATGGGTTTCCAAGGTTTACCACTCAGGATTGCCAGTGTGTGGACGTACTTTTTATGAGACTTGTATTTGCAACACATGCTCCCTACTTATGTTGGCAAGTGCTTTGAATACTGATTGTTCTCACACTGGTATTGCTGAATAATGACATTGGAATTGAAGGGGACAGTACATGGATTTTGTAGGGGAGGAAGAATTTATTTTTTTAAATTTAAATGTAAGTGACAGTTACTCCAAAATTAATTTAAATGACGTAGATTAAATAAATGTAATAAAAACAATAATAAATATATAAATAGGTTTTGATCCAACTGAAGTGGATATCATGATTCTAGATGGTATGCCCATAGGAACAAGTGCCTCTGTGAGTACTTAATTATCGGTTCCAGCATGTTCCCCACTTTCCTATACTGCTTTTTAAGGGGAAGGGGGGGTGGGATCATTCATTAGTGTGTGAGGATTAGGGACTCTGATAGATTTTTCTTTTGAGAGGTTTACTCTGGGGATTTGTTCCACAAATCATACTAGTATCAAATTGGTACCATTAGCCAATATCAGGATTAGATGTATTCATTATATATTCGTAGATTATTATTTTTTATTTATTTTTTTTACCAGGAATACCACTAGATAATCCAATTTTTGTAGACATTGTCTTAAAAGATTTTTGGAAATATGGGGATATTCAAAATAAAACTAATTTATTTTTTATACTTTCCAGGATTGTGCCTTGAAATGTGAGAGAAGTTGTGACAATGAGATAGCTGTGTGAACCAAAGTAATCTCCCGTGTTATAAGCCAGTAGTATCCACTGTATTTCTAAGTTGTCAGGAAATTGCCTGCAGCAATTATACAATAAACATAATTGGATGAACTGTTGTGTCATTTCCCTCGTCATCAACCTGTATTTACCTATTATTATTATTTGGGGGTGGGGTGGGGGTCAATTTGCAGCCTTAGGCCTATTTATTTATTATTTACTGAAAACTTTCTGCCACATTGGCATCTACGCCACTAGTTCCCAACCCTTTTTTAAGCCTGCACCTGTTAAAATTTTTTAGTGTCTTCCCACCCTCTTTGAATTTATAGCTTATTTATGGATAAAGGTGAAGAATTTGTACTAAATTTGCTCAAAAGAAAATATTCTTTTTCATTTGCTAATATGTTAACAAAAATCAGATTTTTAAAATAAATCCTACAAAAAATAATCACTTGCTTGAAATATCTACATGTAAAAATCAAAGAATAAACTTTAAAATGTTTACATAAAAATTTTCAATTCAATGGCTCTCTTCCCGTTTCTTGATTATTAATAACAAATAGATTAATTGCTTGTCTTCAAGATGGACACCTTGCACCCGTTAGAAATGCTACATACACCCCCAGAGGGTGTGAGCACCCTTGGTTGGGAAACCCTGATCTAAGGTCATTAGTGGCCTATGCAAAACATAGCAATAGGGTGAGGCTTGGGGGCAAAGCCCCCAGTTAAAGAAAGGTCTTACAGCAAAAAGGTAAAAATAAAATTTTGAGTTAATTAGGATAAAATATGTTATATGTCAAAGGTTGTAGAGTGCTGTATGTTGGTATGGTAGTGAAAATGGTAAAGAAGGAATAGCAAATTGAGTACAAAGGCCATTCTGGACTGACACAAAACCAGCCTTTCATCCTTTTAACACAGCCCTCACACTTTAGAAAGGTGGAGAAGAAAAGGCCAATGGTTAATGGTTAAAAAGCAAAATAAATGTGCTAAACATCTAAGGTCATAAAGCACTATAGGAAAGTACAGCAGAGTGGTGAAGAGTGATAGTTATGCATCTAGTATCTATAGTAATATTGAAAGGTTAAAGATGGGTAAAGGAGTTGAGTGAATGGGTTACAGAGTTTAGGTAAGGGATTAGATCAAATGAAGGATATGTATGCATCTGAGGAAGAACAGGCTGTCAAAACAAAGTGTGGGATTCTCTATAGGTTGGGAGGTTGGTGTAGGGAGGATAGGTGGGAAAAACAGGTGCGGGCTGTAGAAAAGCATAGACAGGACCATAGAATGAGTGGAACAGAAAGGGATATTACAAAGAAAAGACCAAGACCTACAACAGGCATGGGATTGGGGGGGGGGGAGATTAGGCCCATTTCCTGCTCCAATTATACCCAACTTTTTCAATTTCATCAACTGGTTTATTACCTAGAAGATTCTACATTCCAGTTTTTATGGTATTTACATCTTTCATGTAGGTGAAGAAGCTTAGATGAAATAAACAAGTTTGTTTTATTAAAAAAATGTTTTCTAGACCAACTCATACTTCAACAATTACAGGAAACGATACAAAAAAGGTGCAAAGATTCTTCAGTATTTAGCAATAAAGTGACATTACATAATGTCTAAAACCATAACATATCCAATCTTTTTGAAACCTCAAACTTTAATTCCATCTTTATTACCATAAGTATTTACTAGAAACAAAAAAGAAAATGAAAAAGTAAAA